AAAAAAAAAAAAAATCTCTCAGGCCATCCTTGTGGTCATCATGTAGGAAGCTGAGCACTCGCTGAACAGGGACTGAGTTTCGTGTCTGGTTTGAGAAAATCACAGCGGAAAAACTGGTTTTCTCTCATTTCCACTCATCATTTAGTCTGAAGTGGCATGAAAGACAGTTGTACTAAATATCTGGACATCAGTAGTTTGCTTGGTTAAACTTCTATAACCTACTGAACGTATGGTAATAAGCTATTGTAAATGATTTGCTCTGCAGTAGTGACTGACTGATTGACTGAGAAGGATGAAACCGTGTATTTGAAGGTTCCTGCCCCGTTTGTAAAAATTTGTCCGATTTTTGACTTGATTTCTTTTCCTTTTTTTTGTATCACAGCTGAAGAAATATTGATGTATATGGAACTTAATAAAAAGTTGAAGACTGGTTTCTTCCTGTCGTGTATTTATGGCTGATGGTGACAGACGTGATTGTTTTGTCATCTTTTAACAAAGGTGTGTGTGTGTAGTTATAGCAGCTCGAGAACTGTGATTTAAAGAAAGTAAAGTAAATATAAATGAGTTTATCATAATGTGAATATTTTCACTACAGCTGTGTTTTTCATTATGAAGACTGGAACATGTACAATTTCCGTATCAAATTACAAAAACTACATTTGATCATTGAGAGAAAAAGCTTCATGACTTGTATTTTACATCAGCAATGTTCAACTAAGTATAAAAATGCAAATGAATTGATTATTAGTCATCTTTCACTTCTTCCATCTTATCTATTTCAACGTACAGAAGCATTAAAGATGTGCTGCACAATTTCGGAGGAAATGTTACGGAGAAAATCCCTCAAAACCTTCGAGGGTCTTTAAAAGTGAGAAAATTACAGGAAATAGTCAATGACATTGAATACGCGCTCGATGTGCGTCATTAGTCACAGTTTATGCAGAGTACAAACAAACATCTGGCAACGTAATAACCCATCTACTACACTAGTTTACTGAATCAGACTGAGACTCGTGTGCAGACACACACATACATACACACACACACTGCGTGTAAATACAGAAACGTGCTGCAAATTGTAGTTTAAAGTTTTGTGAAGTATGGAACAGCAGGCTCATCACTCTTCTGAGTCCCCTGGAAACCTTTCCGTTGTCTTTGTCACCATTTGCACGTGTTGTGACTTCTTGCAGAGCACGTGTCGTCAAAATGATAAAGCTATTCTCTTAACGTGCACGTGTTTTCTTCAACTGCAGTGAATTGAACAATCTCTCGGCCACCGTACAAATAACCTGAGTCAGCTGTGTAACTCGGACTTTCCCACTAGGAACACATGATAAGGTTACAACAAGATAACATAAGATGTACATACATAATAAATGTATGTATAATAATAAGTGTCTTCGTTACAGGAGGTTTTGTGTCGTATGGAGTTTTTAATTGTTGTGTGTGTGTTTTGTTTCTTCGAGTTTTACTGATGTTGAATTAAGAAAAGTTTTTTAAAAAAGTTTTAAACACATTTGTCAAAAGAAAGCACGTGCTTTAAAATCTCCAGTAGCGGGACTCTCGCGAGGTTTTTCCTGCGCCGTGACGACACTTCCGGTGCGCCGTGTGATATTTTTCAAACCGTCCAATCAGCGGTGGCGGCCGGATGCTTCTGCTCGAACGGACCAATCAGGAGGCGTTGTTGTGGGAATTTAAAGGTCTGTGCGGCATTTCCCTCACACAGCGGCTCGTTCTCCAGCTGAAGGTCGGTCCTGTCTCCGCCTCACGGGGAATTAAATCTGTTTCATTTCAGGAAACCTTCACATTCTCACACGTTTTTAACTCTGTCGCTGTGTTTGCCTCGTTTCCCGGTGACGCTAGCTAGCTAGCTGGCTAGCTGCGGCCGTGTTTAACGTCGGATTCGCTCGTCGCTCCAGGAATCACGAGGCGAAGCTCCGGGTGAAAGCATCTGTTAATCTTTTTTTATTTTATTCTCAGGAACCAACTCGTCTCCGTCGTCAGTGAAAATGTCCGAGAACGATCGTCTCACCAGTTTCAAGAACAAGGGCAAAGATGCCACCGTGAGTTTTCACCTCCAGGACGTGTTTCCTGCCGCACGAGGCGAGAGTCCGTGGTTGTGACCCTGTTTGATTTGTTTATCTTATTTCAAATGTGAAACACAGGAGCTCCGTCGCAGGAGGGTGGAGGTGAACGTGGAGCTCCGCAAAGCCAAGAAAGATGATCAGATGTTCAAGAGGAGGAACGTGGCCGCGTTTCCCGACGAGGCCACGTCTCCTCTGCAAGAGAGAACCCACAACTGTCAGGTATTCACACTGTTGTTGTTATTAATGCAGCTGAACCAAGCTGTTTACATCCAGGAGAAAGATAATGTCTGTTATAAGCCGTCATTTAATTCCCCCTCTCGTAGTGATCCCTGATTTTAAATGTGTTCAACTTGTATTAGAGTGTGAGAAGGGGGGTAAGAAGAGAAGAATGAGTAAGATCAGAAATGGGAAACTACACCTATAAAAAATGTGTTGGGCCTTAGAGGTCAGCAGTAACTCTAAAATTTACTGGAAGCCAAAATCAGGGTAATATGCAATAAGGGGGAATGCAGTGGTTATTTTTGTAAAGCTATTTATTTTGTCGACCTCCTGCCAATACATGGCTAACGGTATTTGACGGCTCGCAGACTTCCAGGCAGTGGACGGTTGAGGAGATCATCGCAGGTGTGAACACCGGTAACGTTGAGTCCCAGCTCCAGGCGACACAGGCCGCACGGAAACTTCTGTCCCGTGACAAGAACCCTCCCATCGACCAGATGATCAGCGCCGGCCTGATCCCCAGGTTTGTTGCTTTCCTGGGGCTCGTCGACTGTCCTCCGATCCAGTTCGAGGCCTCCTGGGCTCTGACCAACATCGCCTCCGGGACGTCCGATCAGACGGCTGCTGTCGTGGAGGGCGGGGCCATTCCGGCCTTCATCAGCCTGGTCACGTCCACACACCAGCACATCAGCGAGCAGGCAGTCTGGGCCCTTGGAAACATTGCTGGTAATTCACAGAATACATTTTTTGTATTTTTTTTGCAAGTATCTTCACAAGTGTTGGTTTGGAGGTGACATGTCATAATCTCTCTTTCTCCTTTTTAATCTGTTCAGGTGATGGATCAGCTCTCAGAGACCGGGTCATCAAGCACGGAGCCGTGGCCCCTCTGCTCAGTCTGGTGGCCGTCCCTGATCTGTCTGTATTTAATGTAAGTTATTCTTTGTGTGGAGTTAAATTCAAATGTGCACATCACATTTAGTCATACTGTCCACTAGGGGGCAACCTAAGTTAACTTAATGCTGCTGCGTGTCAAACTGACCTCTTCACTCCTTGATGTCTTTGCAGACTGGCTATGTGAGAAATGTGACATGGACGCTGTCAAACCTCTGCCGCAACAAGAACCCCTCCCCACCTATGGCGGCGATCCAGCAGATCTTGCCCGCTCTCGTCCGCCTGCTGCACCACGATGATCGGGAAGTGTTGGCCGACGCGTGTTGGGCTCTCTCTTACTTGACGGACGGCTCCAATGACCGCATTGAGGTGGTCGTCCAAACCGGCATCATCCCTCGCCTTGTGAAGCTGCTGGGCTTTGACGAGTTGTCCGTCATTGTAAGTATAAAGTCGTCTTTGTGCTTCTTGCAAGGGTGATGGTCAGTTTTTGTTCCTCTTGTGCATAACTCATGTAGTTGGGTTTATTGTCACCAACCTGCAGCAGTTCCTCCTCCTCTTAGATTGTAAATGACTCCTTGTCCTCCCTTCAGACCCCGTCGCTGCGTGCCATCGGCAACATCGTGACCGGTACAGATGAGCAGACGCAGGCGGTTCTTGATGCCAGCGCCCTGTCCATGTTCCCCCGACTGCTGCGCCACAAGAGAGCCAACATCCAGAAGGAGGCAGCCTGGACTCTGTCCAACATCACTGCAGGGAGAGACACCCAAATCCAGGAGGTCATCAACGCAGGCATCGTCCCATACCTGGTTGAAACGCTTGCTCGGGTAAGTTTTGAGTTTGTGTCATTAGTGGGCGGAATATAAGTTTTAATTATTTTCCAGTATACTATTGTAAAATCATCTTTTGAGTTCATGTTTATCCTTTTTTTTTTTCCTCTGCAGGGCGACTATAAAACTCAGAAGGAGGCTGTGTGGGCCATTACAAACTTCACCAGTGGGGGCACTGTCCAGCAGGTGGTTTATCTTGTTCAGGCCAACGTGATCGAGCCTCTTCTGAATCTGCTCTCCTCTAAGGACAGCAAAATTGTCCTCGTCATCTTGGATGCCATCACCAATATCTTCCTGGTGAGTGCGTTGTCGTGGCAAAATAAAGTGTTTTGTGTGGTAACAGTTTTTTTCCTGGATTTGATCTGTGCTGCTCGTTAGTCACCAGAGCTGCTCAGATGGCTCAAACGCTTGTTTTTGTTTCAGGCTGGCGATAAAATTGGAGAGTCGGACAAGCTGAGTCTAATGATGGAAGAATGCGGTGGACTGGACAGGATTGAATCTCTGCAGTCTCATGAGAATGAGATGGTGTACAAAGCAGCCCTCAACCTGATTGAAAAATACTTCTCTGCGGAGGTAAGTGTGTTTAAGATGCTAGGACTGATTTAAGAGTTTTAGTTAGTTTTTCATGCCATTGCCCTGATTGGTCTAACATTTCTATTTTCTCTTTTTTAAAGGACGAGGAGCTGGAGTCTGTGGCCCCAGAAGCAACCAATGATGGTTATGCTTTTCAAATCAGTGAAAACCAGAGCACTTTCGATTTCTAGACTTTCTAATCTTTCAACTGTACTGTACTCTCCTTACCACTGTCTGTCCTTTTGTTCTTGTCCTTTTTGTATGTACTGTACATACTCTTTTTAATATGACGAAGCTGATTGTAAATAAAGTTGTCAGATTATGTTTGGGTGTTTTTATTTTACCAAGATGTGATAAATGGTCTGTCACAGAAAAAAAGTAGTTTAGATGATTCTAAGAAGTTTTTTAGATCTCGGGTATACTTCTACTATTGTACTTCATAAATACGGGATGAAAAATGAACATCAAAATCAGTACAATTTAGAGTAGAAGTAAGGTTCAGGGAAACAAGATGGTTTTGTTGTCTAGAAAAACATCAAATAAGAATCGCAAATGAATATCGGGACGATTAATTGTCCACCAAAGAATTCATTAATTCTTTCAGCTCTGCACAAGCAGCACTTTTCCAATGTCTCAACATATTTCTGGACTCTGCCCAATCCCACCATGATAACAGAGCATGCTCCTTTTAGTACATTCTGTATTTGAGATCTATCCCCTGGCAAACGTGCACATTACTCACAAATGATTCTAATCTAAAGCTGCTCGAAGTGATCCTCGAAGGCATGACTTAAGTGCGTATCTTTACTGAATCAGGAATGGTGCATGGATGTTGATCATAGAAATTGGGCCCCACTGTGCATATTGTGGCCCCTGGTTTATGCTTAATGCCCACATGTGCACATTTATTTCAATTAAATTGTTAAAAGTTTGGGGTGTGTGTTAGAAAACCTTGCTTTTATGCTGGAGAATTTATCTGAGTCAATACAAATAAAAAGTATATGTAATTTATAAAACATAGCTTTGTGTATCTGCAGTGTTAGTGTTTGATTAAAAACTAAGAGTGTGAGGATGATGAACCCACGCTGGAGGAGAGTCTGACTCCCCCCTCGGAGTGTCGTCACCGGTCAGCTCCCTCCAGCAGCCTCCCGAGGTGGGATCTTAAAACCGGAGGCTCCACACCGAGCGGAGCGGAGAGGAGAGGACCGGGGGCCAGAGAGCGGCTCCTCCCGAACATGTGAACACGAACCCCCCGCAGCTCGTTAGCGTACAAGTCCCTCTCCACTCCTCCTCCTCCTCCTCCTCTATCTCTCCCTTTATCTCCCTCCCTCTTTCTTTTGGGGTTATTTTTTCCCGAGCCATCGCGGTGGCAGTTCACTCCACATCCGGGCCACGGTGCGTTGACTCCATTATTGTGTGAAACTGGCGGAGCGCTCCATCAAACCTCCCCCCGTCCCCCCCTCCCGCCGCCGCCGCCGCATCTGAGCACACGTTCCGCGAAGTGGAGGCCGGGACCCGGAGGACATGTCTAACCAAGGAGTTCGGCGGAACGGCCCGGTGAAGCTGCGACTAACAGGTAGCTAGCGCCGCTTCTTCTTTTTTTTTTTAAATCCCGGTGTCGGTGTGTGTGTGTGTCCCCTCCTCCACCCCCTCCGCACACACTAGCTAGGAGGGCTCGGTGTATTTCTTGGACGGGAGCAGCTCCCCTGGGCCATGGAGTTGGCTCCTCTGCCGGTTGTCCTCCTCCCTATGTCAGCGGCTGTGTTACATTTATAACATTGTGTTGTTTCCGCTGTTGTTATTGTTGAACCGAGCTCCAGATAAACCTGATGTTTGAATATCANTAACATTATCTTATCATATCATATCATGATAATATCATCATGTATAATTGGAGCAGGGTTATCGGTGATTTGAACTAAATGATTTTCAGGTTTAAAACTGCTGAGTGTGCGCAGAAGGTTCCGCCGCCGACGTGTTTCCAGTCGGACACAATAACATTGCTGCAGCTGTAGTCCGGGTTGTTTTCACTGGGACATGATTAAATGTGGCGGTGACAGAGGGACTCGAACTGTGACATGGACCCGGCTCACAGAGCCGTTCTCCGGAGGAACACGCGCTATCTGTCCGCGGAGCTGCAGGTCAGCGACTCCATCGTTCCGCTTCTGTTCCAGGAGGAGATTCTGACGGAAGCTCAGGTGGAACACATCGAGTCTCAGGCCACGAACACCAAGAAGACTCTGCGGCTCCTGGAGCTGCTGCCCCGCAGGGGGCCCCGGGCCTTCCGCTGCTTCCTGAGGGCCCTGGACGACTTCAGCTGGGTCCGAGACAGGCTGCTGCTGGACCTCCACACACCCGGACCCGGAGCTGAAGCTGGACCCGGACCTGAAGCTGGACCCGGACCTGAAGCCGGAGCTGAAGCCGGAGCTGAAGCCGAAGCTGAAGCTGAAGCTGGAGCCACAGGTGAGGCCCGAGCTGCAGAACACCCCGGAAGTTAGTGAGTTAGTTAGACATGAAGTTAGTTAGTTAGTTAGTTAGTTAGTTAGTTAGTTAGTTAGTTAGNAGTTAGTTAGTTAGTTAGACATGAAGTTAGTTAGTTAGTTAGTTAGACATTTAGTTAGTTAGACGTGAAGTTAGCTAGTTAGCTAGTTAGACATGAAGTTAGTTAGTTAGACATGAAGTTAGTTAGTTAGACATTTAGTTAGTTAGTTAGTTAGATGTGAAGTTAGTTAGTTAGACATGAAGTTAGTTGGTTAGACATTTAGTTCGTTAGTTAGTTAGACATGAAGTTAGTTAGTTAGTTAGACAGTTAGTTAGTTAGTTAGACATGAAGTTAGTTAGTTAGACATTTAGTTCGTTAGTTAGTTAGACATGAAGTTAGTTAGTTAGTTAGACATGAAGTTAGTTAGTTCATCAGCTACAGTAGAACAGAGGAACAGTAGAACAGTGGAACAGTGGAACAGAGGAACATCAGCTGCAGTGTCGATCAGATTTTCTTGAACAAACACTTCGAGGTTACAAACGATGTAAACGTCCTGTGTCACACTGACCTAAAGAATAACACACACACGCCCCCCCACAGACGATCGGATTTCTTTCCTCTTGTTTTTGTCGATGCTGTCGTCCAATGAATGGAGACAAAACAGAACAACCCCCGGTGACTTCCATATACTGAGAATTAAAGTTACAGCCCTGAGCCATGACGTCAGTGTAAACAAACATTAGAATTCAATCCTGGATGCTTTCATCAAAACAAAGACCACTGGTCGTTTTAATAAAAGCAGATTAGTTCCAGTTTGATTATGATGACCTGCTGCTCCAGACAAAAATTGGATTTAATTATTCGTGAAAGACAAATAATTGTACAGGAACTCAAATACATGTCACAAGTGTGAGATCCAATCTCAGATTCAGACATTTTAATCCAGATTAAAGTCTGAATTCACATTCATAGATTGAATTCAGATTCAGAGGTTAGAGTTTGGGATTAAAGTGATGATATCTTTTGGATTAAGACTTTAATCCCAGAATTCAGTTTTCCTCCACACCTCTTCATTCTTCTTCTAATCTCACGATATTTCCATCTCTCTGCAGACGACCGGCAGCTTCCTGAGTTGGTTCTCCAGAGGGTTCCTTCAGATCGGGAGTTGTCCCGTCTAGCGTCTCGACTCGGGGCTGAGTGGGAGGTTGTGCTGATGGACCTGGGTTTGTCTGCGGAGGCTTTGTTTCGCCTTCGGTCCGATCATGGTCTCAGCACTCATGGGGCGGCGCTTGCCGGCCTGGTTCAGTGGAGACGATCTGAGGGGAGGAGAGCCAGGGTCCAGAGGCTGCTGGAGTCTCTACAGGCCGCTGACATCCACCCGTCTGTCCTGCAGGACGCCCTGATATGAAGACGTGCTGAGGACAACTGTGGACGCTCAGCAGGACAAGAGTGTTTGAAACAGTTAGGACGAGATGACTGAGTCTGAGACAAGAGACGACATGTTGCTCAGCCACACACACACACACACACACACACACACATTAATTCCTCAACAGTTCCTGCTGGTTTTCTATTGGACTCTGAGATTTAAGGTGGACTGAAGAGATAGAGAACCTGAACTGTCACTGAGCTGTGAAACTGTTTCTGTCTGAAACTATGATTTGACACCAAATTCAGACTAGAAATGTTTATCATACACAATTTAATTGATAAATCTTAATTTGTCTGAAATGTGTTTTAGTCAGAGATCATACATTTAAAGTCCCAGAATAAAGTCAGGAAACAACAATTAAAAAGTCAAGTTGATAAAGTTGATCGTAAAAAGTGACAAATGTTTTCTCACACATTCAGATGTCTTTGTGTTTGA